AAGAGGAAGTGAAAAAAGGGCTGGGGGGAAAAGGAAAATAAAAGTGTAATTAAGAACATCAGAGTCACCGGGGGCGGCTAGTTAGAAAGCAGAGACCCCCTATCGAGAGGAGAGGGATAACTCGGACTCTTCCACGTGTAATTAAATCTAAAGTAAATTAATTGAATCACATCTGAAAAGGATCAGACTCATTACAGCGAGGGCTGGGGAGGGACGGCGGTTTTGTCTCCTTTCTGCTCCTAAAGCCCTCAGATAAGTGCACCGTTTTCGAAGAGGCCACATCTGATCCGAGCCGAGCGCATTAGGCCTGGTGAAGACACTCTTATTACAGGCCTCACCTCATTATGGCCATCTTAATCCCACACTCCCCACGGCACCCCGTATAATAAGGCTGGAATGTACCTCTTTGCTCATTTTACCTTTGTAATGGGGGAAAAAAATTAATTGCTTCGGAGGCTTAGCTTACACTTCTCGGACATAAAATCTAAATAATATTTTAACAGAGGCTACAAAGCACCTCTTAGCCAGCGGTGTTTGAAGTTCCGGCGTTGCAATTCTTCATTGCAAGAGCCAAACGCGCGCACACACATTTAGTGATGACCGTTTAATTGCTGCTAAAGGCCTTTCTCTGCATGTCTTTGACTGTGTGAGCAGCCATCCAGTCAGAGGGGTCAGTGCAGTGTGATCGGGGTCCGTCACCCTCTTAAGTGTGAACAAAGCTTTGCTACAGTCTGGGTAATTATTTAAGGAGGTGGAGCGTACCTTACAAGAGAGGTATATGCACGTACTTACACAGAAACAGCAGTCAGACATGGAATACATTAAAGCAAATGTCTGCAGAACATTAACAACGGATAATAATATCTTAACAAGGCAAGTTAAGAAACGTCTGAATGCAAATTAATTCACTGCTTCGCTCTCTGATGCTCTTTTCACCGCTTAATGCATGTATATTTATGGTGGAATCAGCTTGAAAATAAATCCCAAGGGAGTGTTTTCTGGTGAAAACACAATTTATTTGAGCCTGTTTATTCACTTTCCCAGTGGCAGGGCGTTCTGCGGTGGAAGGGGGGGAAATCGAAGCGCTCCTAATCTTCCACGAGCAGCCACTAATAAAGACAGCTATCGTTATATTCAAACGGCACAGCAATTAATCTCAACCAGTCAAGATGATAATGCTTTATATATGTGGAGAATGAGATGCAACATTCTGCCTGTTATTCAGTATTAAATATTATCAAGGAGAACAAAATGCTTTGGCTAAAAAAATAAGAACTCTTAAATTTAAATCAACTGATACAATACAGTGCAGTGATGGCAAATGAGTGGTAGACAATCTGGCTGAAATTGAAAAGAAAAAAAAAAGAAAAAAAGAAAAAAAGATATACATAAGCACACTCAAAGTACACCAAATTCAAAATTCAAAACAGAAATTGTCTGACAAAGCTGTGGGCAAATTTTGGAACAAAAAAAAAGCCAAATAAACATTCACTGACAATCTCAAAATAATAATGTCATATTTAAGTCCATTCCACAGAGAATTAGCTCAGAAAATCAAAAATGTAAATCATCACAAAAAAAAAATGAAAGTACTCACACTGTATGGATAAAAAAGAAGTGATACATTCTTCAAAATACCTTTGTGTTCTGCAGAAGAATTCATACAGGTAGAACCACTTGACGGGTGAGTAAAAGACAATTTAAATTTCTGGGTGAAATATCCATTTAAAATTATGTATATGTAATATTATGTGTGTGTGTGTGTGTGTGATGTATATGTAATATTATGTGTGTGTGTGTGTGATGTATAATATATATATATATATATAGTGTGTATATATATATATATATATATATATATA